GTGAGACATTGTCTTAAAAAAAAAAACAAGAAAAAGGAAGGAAACTCTTATACAAGCTACAACATGGATGAACCTAGAGGATATTATGCTAAGCGAAGTAACCAGTTACAAAAAGACAAATATTATATTATTCCACTTATCTGAGGTATATAAAGTAGTAAAAGTCATAGAGACAGAAAGTGGTTGCCAGGGGCTGGGAGTAGCAAACAGAGAGTGATTATTTTTCTTTTTAAAAATTTTTTTAGAGATGGGGTCTCACTATGTTGCCCAGGCTGGAGTGCAGGAGCCATTCATGAATGTAATCATAATACACTACAGCCTCAAACTCGGGCTCAAGCAATCCTTCCACTAGTCCCAAGTACCTAGGACTACAGGCGTATGCCAGCATATCAGCCTTGAGTTATTGCTCAGTGGTTATAGATTCTGCTTGCAAGTTTCAAAGAGTTCTGGAGATGTGTGGTGGTGACCACTGCAGAGCAATGTGAATGTACTTCATACCCCTGAAATGAAATGTACACTTCAAAATCTCTATGATGGTAAATTTTATGTTATGTGGTATTTTACCACAATTTAAAAAAAATGGAAAAACAAAGGCAGGGATGATAACATTCAAATTAGTCAAAGTATATATCCATGGCAAAAGTTTTTCGTATTGAAAAGGGAACCACCCAGATAAAGAAAAAGCCAGGACACAGCAGCTGATCCCAGATTTGCTCTGGTCCCAACAAAAACAACTATTATTTTAAAAAGGACAAATCAGCCAGGAGCCGTGGCTCATGCCTGTAATCCCAGCACTTTGGGAGGCCAAGGTGGGTGGATCACTTGAGATCAGGAGTTCAAGACAAGCCTGGCCAACATGGCGAAACCTCGGCTCTACTAAAAATAGAAAAATTAGCTGAGTGTGGTGGCAGGCGCCAGTAATCCCAGCTACTCAGGAGGCTGAGGCATGAGAATCACTTGAACCCAGGAGACAGAGGTTGCAGTGAGCCGAGATCATGCTGTTGAACTCCAGCCTAGCCAACAAGAGCAAACCTCTGTCTCAAAAAAAAAAAAAAGAAAAAAAGGACAAGTCATATTCAACAGCTGTTTTTAGACACAAGACTAAGTATAAGCATAAGCAGGACTGTGATCCTTGAGAGAAGGGACACAAGCTAAGGGTAGGAGGCAGCAGCAGAGCCAAGCACAACAAAGAAATAATGGAAGGTTCAAATAAGGAACAAAAGGGAATTCCTAGAGCTTCAAAATACTACATCTGATATGAAAAGTTCACTGGAGGGGTTTAATAAAAATGCAGAAAGTAAGTTCATTTGAAGACAGAGCAGCCGGGCGCAGTGTCTCAAACCTGTAATCCTAGCACTTTGGGAGGCCAAGGTGGGTGGATCACCTGAAGTCAGGAGTTCAAGAGCAGCCTAGCCAACATGGTGAAACCCCATCTTAAAAAAAAAAAAAAAGAAAAAGAAAGAAAGAAAAGAAAAAAAATTGAAGACAGAGCAATAGAACCTATCTAAATGAAAGCTCAGAAGGAAAAAAAAGACTGAGAAAAAAATGAACAGAAGAAAAAAAAAAAAACAGAAGTTCAGTGACCTGTGGGATAATACCAAATAGTGTAACATACATAGAGTAGGAGTCCAGGATGGGAGAAGAGGTGGCAGAAAATACATTTGAAGAAATCATGGCTAACAATTCTTCAAATTTTATATTTAGAAACCCACAAATCCAAGAATCTCAATAAACCCCAAGCATGATAAACATAAAGAAAACCATACCAAGATACATCATAATCAGACTGCTGAAAATCAGCAATAAAGAGAAAATATTCCAGCTGAGGCAACATCTTGAGATCCTGTCTCTACAAAAAATAGAAAAGACTAGCCGGGTGTGGTGGCACATGCCTGTAGTCCCAGCTACTTAGGAGGGGAGATGGGAAGATGGCTTGAGCCCAGAAAGTCAAGGCTCCAGTGAGCTATGACTGTATCATTGCACTCCAGCATGGGTAAGACGTCGGAAAAAAAAAAAAAGAAAAAGAAAATATTAAAAGCAGTCAGAGAAAACAGAAAAACATTATATTCAGAAGAGCAAAGATGAGAATAACAACAGACTTCTCTTAGAAACGATGCAAACCCAAAGCCAGAAGAGCATTTTTTTTTTTTTTTTTTTTTTGAGACAGTCTCACTCTGTCACCCAGGCTGGAGTGCAGGGCACAATCTCAGCCCACTGCAACCACCATCTCCCAAGTTCAAGGAATTCTCCTGCCTCAGCCTCCCGAGTAGCTGGGATTACAGGTGCCTACCACCATGCATGGCAAAAGATGGGGTTTCACCACGTTGGCCAGGCTAGTCTTGAACTCCTGACTTCAGGTGATCCACCCGCCTCAGCCTCCCAAAGTGCTGGGATTATAGACATGAGCCACCGCGCCCGGCCAGAACAGCATCTTTAAAGAGACAAAGGCTAATACTTTCTCATTATTAGGATATCTGCTATGGTGATCTGTGATCAGTCATCTTTGATGTTACTGTTGTAATTGTGCTGGTTTACGTCATTTGTGTCTCCAGATCTAGGAAGGCTGGCTATGGCTGACTGCAGATACCAGGCTTGGCTCCCCTGGCTGCTGATTTCTTGTTGAGCTAGACCATGAGGAACCCTAGCAGGAGGCCATGGGGAGGGAGGAGAGTGAGGTCAAGTTGTTAATTACCAGGCTCATTCCTGAGAATGGTCTAGGGCCTTGGCCAAGGTCCCATCCTGTCAGGCTGCCCTTTCCTCTCTGCTCCCAGCCCCTAGGTTCCTAAATCCTTTCTCTCTCCTCTCGTTTGCCCAAGGGGAGCAATGGCTACTGTAGTTACAAGGTCAGTACCATGCAACAGCCCTTTGGTTTCCCTACACCCTGCCCATACCTTTGTAAACAGTCCCTTTATAAACCCTCACTGAATTAGCCTAATTGGCACAGGAATCTATTTTCTTCTATGTTGCAAATTGATAAGTTGTGAGTTTTTAATTACTTCATAACAAAACATCAAAATATATAAAGCAAAAAAGATTAAATATACAAAGCAAAAATGGATATGCAAAAAAGCAAACAATTATAATGACAGAGTGTATCTATCATCCAACTACAGGCATGCCTCATTTCGTTGTGCTTCACTTGACTGCCCTTTGCAGATACTGAGTTTTCACAAATAGAAGGTCTGTGGTACCCTGCATCAAGCAAGTGAACCGGCACCATTTTCCCAGTTGACTGGGAAAACAGCATATGCTCATTTCTAGTCTGTGTCACGTTTTTTATAATTTATGCAAAATTCAATGATTTTTCATTATTAGCATACCTGTTATGATCTGTGATCAATGATCTTTGATGTTACTGTTTATTTACTTATTTATTTACTTTTCTTTTTTTTTTTTGAGATGGAGTTTCACTCTTATTGCCCAGGCTGGAGTGCAATGGCATGATCTCAGCTCACTGAAACCTCCCTCTCCCAGGTTCAAGTGATTCTCCTACCTCAGCCTCCTGAGTAGCTGGGATTACAGGCATGCGCCACCATGCTCAGCTCATTTTGTATTTTTAGTAGAGACAGGGTTTCTCTATGTTGATCAGGCTGGTTTCGAATTCCTGACCTTAGATGATCTGCCCGCCTCAGCCTCCCAAAATGCTGAGATTACAGTCATGAGCCACCGTGCCCAGCCTATTTATTTATTTATTATTATTTTTTGAGATGGAGTTTCGCTCTTGTTACCTGGGCTGGAGTACAATGGCGCGATCTTGGTTCACTGCAACCTCCGCCTCCTGGGTTCAGGCAATTCTCCTGCCTCAGCCTCCTGAGTAGCTGGGATTACCCGCACATGCCACCATGCCCAGCTAATTTTTCGTATTTTTAGTAGAGACGGGGTTTCACCATGTTGACCAGGATGGTGTCAATCTCTTGACCTCGTGATCCACCCACCTCGGCCTCCCAAAGTGCTGGGATTACAGGCTTGAGTCACCGCGCCCAGCCATGTCCAGCTCTTAATCAAAAATCACCAGCCATACATCAGCTCCAGAAAATATACATAAAATTCCTAAAAATCAACAAGAAAAAGATAAGACAATCCAATAGGGAAAAGGAAAAACAAAAGACCTCAAAAAAATCCAAATGACCAATAAACATAGTAAAAAGCTACCATAATTAAAACAGTGTGATACCACCGCATGAACAGATACATAAATCATATGTAAGAACTTAATATTAAGGCCAGGCATGGTGGCTTAGCCTGGGCAACCTGGTGAAACCTGTCTCTATAAAAGTAGGCTGGGCGTGGTGGCTCACGCCTATAATCCCAGCACTTTGGGAGGCTGAGGTGGGCAGATCACCTGAGGTCAGGAGTTCAAGACCAGCCTGGCCAACATGGTGAAACCTCATCTCTACTAAAAATACAAAAAATTATCTGAGTATGGTTGTGCCTGCCTATAATCCTAGCTACAAAGGAGGCTGAGGCAGGAGAATCACTTGAACTCAGGAGGCGGTGGTTGCAATGAGCTGAGATTGTGCCACTACATTCCAGCCTGGGCGACACAGCAAGACTCCATCTCAATAGAAAGAAAAAGTAGCAGGGTGTGGTAGTGCACACCTGTGTCCCAGCTATTCAGGAGGATGAGGTGGGAAGATGGCTTGAGTCTGGGAGGTGGAGGTTGCAGTGAGCCGTGATCGCATCACTGCACCAAAAAAAAAAGAGAGAGAGAGAGAGAGAAATATAAATAAAAGTAAGTAAAATAAATCAATAGGAAAAGGATAGATAGATGGTTATAGGTAAAAGAGTTAACTGAGAAAGGAACAGATTTAAGGCTTTTTTCAGAGAATCAAAATTAACTAGTTGGTCTAGATAGTTATATGCAAAAGAGAGGGAGGGAGAAATAGAAAAACAATGCTGAATGTAAGAATAAAGTGTTCCCTGCCCCTCAGCACTATCATCACGACAGTCTGGAAAGCAGGTGTTTGGGAGGTGGATGGGGAGGGAGGGATGATAACTACCGCATCAATCTCATTGAGGACCTTCCACTGCTCATAGGGCACGCCCAGCGCCTCGGCTGTCTGGATTGTCCTCTTCATCTGGCTGGTCCAAACCTTCAGATCCTTGATGTTCTGGTCACTGATGAACTGGGCTAGACTCTTGGCAAACTGAAACGCAACATAAGCAAACTCAGACCAATGGGTCCTGGGCTGCCCTGAAAGCATTCCAGAGCCACAGGGTCCATGAGATCATCCCCACCTTGAACACTCACTATAGGTTTGGTAAAAAGCATAAACTAACTTGTCGATGACACACATGCCCACAAGTGCTGTTCTTGTGTACCCTCCCAGGCCCTGAGCACAGAAGCATAGTTCCAGCTGTGACTCATCAGGGCCACTGCCTCCCCGCAACCGTGTGCCCTGTGCTAGGTGACCACTGAGGCCTCACTACCTCCCCTGGACTGTGGCATACCTATCTGCTACACTGCATGGACTCGGGTCCCTCTGAGGGTGGCATGCCTCTGATGAAAGGGGCTCAGCAAGTGACAGCTCACATGGAGACCAGAGATCCAGGCATTTTCCTGGTGCTTGGTGACCTTCCCTACATCATGGGAAGATTCTAGACTGAATGGTTATTCACCTGGACTGCCCATTAAAAGAATGGGAGCCCAGCCCCAGCGCACACACACATACATACACCCAGCCATGCAGAGGGACAAACGCAGGCCCATGTGCACACGCAAGCACACATGCACTGACCTCCCTGCCCCGGGGGGACAGTCCTGGGTCCCCGCCAATCCGGCCCTTGAGGTTGAGTTCGCTCTCCCCGTGCCGGCAGAGGTAGATGGAGCGGGGAGTCACGTGGATGTTCATGAGGTAATAGACGATGCGGCTCTGGATGTGGTCAGCCACACGGTTCACCACGTAGCTCTGGCCCACATCCATGATCTTGATATAGGACAAGTCCCTTTCCAAAGAGAGGGTAGAAAGAGGCCTGTGAGTGTGGCCAGGGTCCTCTCAGGGCTGTCTGGCCAGCCATGGAGTTCAGCTGCGAGGCCTTGTACCTCTGACCACCAGAGATTACAAACCTCAGGACCATTAGTTGGTGTGCAAGTGATGGGGGTGAGGCAGGAGCAACACAGCACACGTGACGCACAGGCAAACCCGGTGGGAGAGGGGAGGTGCTCGTCACTCATCATGCTTCTAAAAGGTGACATCCAAAGTGGGGGTTCCGCCATACCACATCATGACTTTCACCGCTGCTCATGTGCCCCTTGGGCCCCCCTCCTTGCCTACCTCCAACCTCTCAATACACTGTAAGTTGAACCAAGAGACGGTTTTCCCGAGGGTTGTTGACCTGGGAGTAGCTGGCAAACGCTCCACGCCCCCACTCTTCCTGGTCAGCCGTCCAAGGACCTGGCCTTTCCTTCCCCAGTGACCTCCTCCCGCTAGAACCCAGTCCAGGTCATCTGTGAGTGCCGAGCAGCCGCCACACCCCACCCTGGGTAGCTGGTGGATGAGACAGAAAGCACAGGAGGACAGGAGGATGGTGCCGGTGGCAGCAGCTGAAAAACCCAGCTCAGCCACTTGCCCCGCTCTGGACCCGTGCAGCGCTGCAGCTGGGAGAGTGCACTGATCTGTCTCTAGGTGTGGGGGTGCAGGGTGGGCTCTGGTTCGGGCTGTTCTCACAGCCTCTGGATATTCTCAGCTGACCTCTTACTGTCTGGAATTTGGGACCTTGGTTTGGGGGTATCAGGATGACACCACCAATAAAAGCAAGAGCAATGCTTACTGACAAATCCAACAGGAGCCGCTCCAGACAAATGGATCATGTCACAGAACCACAGGGAGAAATGCTGTCCTGGGGGACCATGAAAGCCAGAGAGGGGAGACGATTCAAGATGGCTGACCACTAACAGCTCAGGATTGTAGCTCCCAGTGAAAGCTCAGAGAACGAGACGACGCCACATCTTTAGACGAATTTTCGTCACTCACCGATTAGCCGATTCCCAGTGGAGGAGCCCCACGGGTCGCCAGTGTGACTCTTGTGGCCGCCGCAGCGGTTTTGCCGGCGTGTCGGCGCAGCAGCTCTTCACGCAGAGCCAACGGGACTGCTTCCCCTACTGACCAGAGTTTGGAGCTCGGGGAAGTCAGAGCCGCTTGTTGCGGACTCGAGAGGGAAGCCAGACCAGAGATTCCCGGGCAGAAGAGCACCATCAGTCTTACTGCTGCTATTTAGGCTGCCACAGTGGGTGGCTCGGATCCCAGCACTGGGAATCAGTAAGTCGGACGTTGACTCAGAAAACTAATTAGAAAGGCGGTTCATCTAAAATGAAGGGAAAAAAACAGCCTAAGAAGGCCGAGTATACTCAAAATCAGAACCCATCAGCAACGGAACAAGCCCTGATGGAAAAGGACTCATCAGCAACCGAACAAGCCCTGATGGAAAAGGACTCATCAGTAACGGAACAAGCCCTGATGGAAAAGGACTGTGTTCCATTATCTGAAGTAGGCTTTAAAAGGTGGATGATAAGAAACTTCTGGGAGTTAAAGGAACTTGTTCTAACCCAATGTAAAGAAACTAAGAACTTGGAAAAAAGGTTCGATGAAATGTTGAAAAGAATAGACAATATAGAGAGGAATACAAATGAACTTATGGAGTTGAAAAATACAACACGAGAACTCAGTGAAATATGTACAAGCTTAAACAGCCGAATGGATCAAGCAGAAGAAAGGGTATTAGAGGTCGAAGACCAACTTAATGAAACAAAACGACAAGACAAGAATAGAGAAAAAAGGATAAAAAGGAATGAGCAAAGTCTCCAAGAAATATGGGACTATGTGAAAAGACCTAATATACGCTTGATTGGTGTACCTGAATGTGACGGAGAGAATGAAGTCAAGCTGGAAAATACTCTCCAGGACATTATCCAGGAAAATTTTCCTAATTTAGCAAAGCAGAACACTATTCAACCCCAGGCAATACAGAGAACACCACAAAGATATTCCTCAAGAAGACCAACCCCAAGGCACATAATCGTTAGATTCACCAAGATCGAAACGAAGGAGAAAATATTAAGGGCAGCCAGAGAGAAAGATCAAGTTACCCATAAAGGTAAGCCTATTAGGCTTACAGCAGATCTCTCAACGGAAACCCTACAAGCTAGAAGAGAGTGGGGGCCAATATTCAATATACTTAAAGAACAAAACTTTCAGCCCAGAATTTCATATCCTGCCAATTTAAGCTTTACATTTGAAGGAAAAATAAAATCTTTTAGGAACAAGCAAGTACTCAGAGATTTTATTACCACCAGGCCTGCTTTACAAGAACTTCTAAAAGAAGCATTATACACAGAAAGGAACAACCAGTATGATCCTTTCTAAAAATACACCAAAAAGTAAAGAGCATTAACATAAAGAAGAATTTTTATCAACAAAAGGACAAAATAGCCAGTTAATATCAAATGGCAGCAACCCTAAAGTTAAATCAACCAAATCTCCCAATCAAAAGATACAGACAAAATCCAACGGTATATCCAAAGATATACATAGACTCAAAATAAAGGGTTGGAAAAAAAAAAAAACGTACCAACCTAATGGAGAGCAAAAATAAATAAATAAAAAGCAGGAGTTGCAATTTTCACATTTGACAAAATAGATTTCAAAGCTATAAGGATACAAGGGTAAAAGGATAAATGTAACAATAAGAGATCTTAACACCCAGATACATAAGACACATAGTGAGATTTAGATTCAACGAGACAACAAATTGATAACGATATCCAGGATTTGAACTCAGAGCCAGAACAAATAAACACAATAGAGGTCTCCATTTTAAACACATAAAATATGCATTAACCACTTTAAACACTCAAAATATTGATCGGCCATTATTGAAACCCATTTTAGGAATGAAGTAATATTCCTTTTTCCCTCTTTTTCTTTTTTTCCCCTTCTTTTTCTCTTTTTCCCTTAAAAAAAAAAAAACTCAGCACTAGGCTCTGTTCCAAGGGCACAATCAAACCAATTCCCAAATCCTATCTGTATGGGCTCTTCTGGGAAAAAGAAAAAAAAAAAAAAGGAAAAAAAAAAAAAAAAAAAAAAAAAAAAAAAAAAAAAAGAAAGCCAGAGAGGCCCAGGCAGCAGATGCCATTCAGCTCAGGCCCAGCCTGCACTGGCTCCAGAACCCAGCTGAGGACACTGCTCTGTGCACATCCCAAAAGCATTCATCTCACAGTTGCTTGCGTTTCTTGGTTCATGTACATCACATATTCTTTGTTTTTTGGGGACTGAGCTGGGGTACAGTGCTGTAATCACAACTCACTGCAACCTCTGCAGCCTTGATCTACCTGGGCTTAGGTGATTTTCCCACCCCACCCTCCTAAGTAGCTGGGAGTACAGGCACGTGCCACCACTCCTGGCTAATTTTTGTATTTTTTGTAGAGACAGGGTTTCATCATGCTGCCAAGACTGGTCTCAAAATCCTGGGCTCAAGCAATCCTCCAGCCTCAGCCTCCCAAAATGCTGGGATTACAGGCATGAGCCACTCTGCCTGGCCTGTATCATACATTCTTATAGAATTACAGAACCTAAGCAGAAGTTTGTATTCCAGCCTTTTCACTTAATGCAGTGTTATATTTTCCCATGTCTCCCCATAATGGTGAGTTATAATGATGACAGTAACACTTTACCAAGGACTAAATTATTATTTACTCAACCACTGCCCCATGTGTTCTGTAACATGGAATTTGGTGAACTATGGCCAGGCAGTCAAATTCAGCCTTGGTTTGTTTTTATCAAGTTTTACTGGAACACAGCTCTGCCCATTGGTACAGTGACAGCAGAGCTGAGTGCCTGCAACAGAGACTGCACATCCTATAAGGTCTAAATAAAATATTTACTCCCTAATCTTTGACAGAAAATATTTGCCAACCCCTGCGCTAAGACCCCCTGCATAGAAATTCAGCTTGGGTCGGCACAGTAACTCACACCTGTAATTCCAGCACTTTGGGAGGCCAAGGTGGGAGGATCATTTGAGATCAGGAGTTCGAGACCCGCCTGGCCAACATGGTGAAACACCATCTCTACCAATAATACAAAAATTAGCAGGGCGTGGTGGCAGGCACCTGTAATCCCAGCTACTTGGGAGGCTGAGGCAGGAGAATCACTTAAACTGGGAAGGTGGAAGGTTGCGGTAAGCTGACATCACGTCATTGCACTCCAGCCTGGGCAATAAGAGCGAAACTCCATCTCAAAAAAAAAAAGACATTTGACTTGATTTCATGATGAAATAGTATAAAATCCTGACTTTTCAGATGAGGTAACAGGTGTTGTACAAGTCACCTCTGGCCAAAAATTTCTGCCACAAGGAAATAAACAGAAAAGGTCAAACCAGCTCTGCTTTTTGGTCCCCCAGCCACCACCATGGGGAGCCACAGGAGGCAGCCAAGTGCGACCCCTGCCACCCGCCATCACAGTTGCAGGGCAAGGCGCTGCCCTGGCTCACCTATCCAGGTCCTCATCCAGCGACTCATAGGAGTTCTGATAGCACTCAATGCGCCTCATGAAGTCGTCCGTGGCCTCGTCACTGTCGCGGTTGACATAGTCAGGACTGCCCAGTTTCACTTGCTGTCGGAGCCAGGCACAGAGCAAGGACATATCAGGATTGGGGGCCAGAGAGCAAGGAGGCTGCTGGGCAAGGGCTGAGGAGGTTGGGCCCTAGATCAGGGCAGAGACCTGAGGCTGGAAGCTAAGATGGGGGGCTTGTCCCATGAGGACGAGTCCAGCAACTTCCTGGTCTGAGTTCTCCCACCAGTGCCGAAAGGGTATCACTGAGGGTCCTGGGATTGAAGTCCTTTATCCTTGTGGTATAGGGGAAGGCCTGGAAGCCTTTCTCCGCCCTCAACTCTCATTTCCCCAGACCCAAATAGCCATATCTGTGATAAACTGGGGGAAGGGAAGGGAAGAATTAGTCTTTCTCTGAAATATAAAACATGCCCCCACCTCCTACCCCTGCTGAAGCTGCTCTCCTACTGTCCAGGTGGTTATGAGGGGAGGAGGGTTGCCCACCAGCCATCCAGCCTTCCACATGGTGGTGCACAGAGGCGAGGCTCACCTGACCCAACATTCGAGGTTACACTGCCTCCCTACCTCCACAAGGTTCAAGACCAAATTAAGGTTAGCCAAAGCCCGGAAAAGGGATGTCCTTGTCACATACCACCTTCTGACAAGGTCAGATGTGCCACTCACCACGATGTTAGCAGCTATGACCTCAGGATCCACACAGACGGACTCAACAAAAAAGGTCTTCGGCAGGACCAGAAGAGCCAGGGTGGCAGGAGGGAAGAACACATTCAGGGCCTCCTGTCTTGCTCCTCAGCACCCTCCACTCCCCAAGGCCCATGCTGACCAGCAGCCCTGATCCCTGCTTCTGGGGTTGGAGGCGGGGTCGAGGAGTCCAGAGCTAAAGCAGGTGCTGCCCTATCCTAGACTGTCCCACCAAGGCTCCCTTCCCCCAGAAAGCAAACCTCAGGTGGAGACAGCCCCTCTCATCCCAAATTACACCCAGGAGCCATGCCAGCCCCATGCCCCTCATGCATCAGCAGGTGATGAGAGGAGCCCTGGAGGGCAGGGGGCATGCCACAGTTCCGCCAAGGAGAGGAGCCAAGGAGGCCTCACCTTGTAGCCATTCTGTTCTCCAAAATTAAAGATGGTCGCTCTCCGTTCTCGGGTGGTGTTTGTGGCATCAAAAACCTAGGACCAAACTAGGGTTAACTCGGCCTCTTGCCCTGGGGAAGGTAGGAGGCACCTGAGGGCTGCAGCACAGGCTCTCTGGGGACTAGATTTCTCAGAAGGACCAGCTGCTGCCAGGGCCACTTCCTGGCCAGTCTCCTTCAGACTTGCAAGGGCTGGGCTGGCCCTCCCCTTCCTTAGAAAGGATGCCCCAGGGACGCTAGAAAGAGAGGATGCCTGTGCTCCCCCGCTGGGAGCACACCCTTGGCACAGAAGAACCTACTCAGTGCTGCTCTGCACACAGTGGGCACTCAGTTTGTGTCTGACCAACAGGAATTCCAGTGAAACCAGTTAAACCTGGTGAACTGAACCTACATTTATTTCTACTCCATCCTGACTCCCCAGTAAAATGGGAACAGAAGGATAAAGAGAAAAAGAGAGGAGAGGACAGGAGATGGAGAGGCCAACACAATTCTGTCAGATAGACCCATGATGAAGAACTCAGAGGCATGTAGGAAACTGAGCACAGGTGCTCGCCAACAGGAGCCCTCAGGAGTGTGCACCGGCACCATTAAGAAAAGGGACAAAGCTGGAGAGGAAATGGGAGGACTGGCTGGCTGACAAAGAAGAGCTGGAGGCCCAGGACCCCTTCCCAACCCCATCTGGCTGGGTGCTGACCCATCTGAAGCTCTTTGCAAAGTACCTGGGGCCTGCACAAGCATCCTCTGATGCGGCCACTTGCCAGTACATCTAAGCAGTTTTTTTTAACAGCATCGCTTTTTAATTTTTTTTTTTTTGAGAGATGGAGTTTCGCTCTTGTTACCCAGGCTGGAGTGCAATGGCGCGATCTTGGCTCACCGCAACCTCTGCTTCCTGGGTTCAAGCAATTCTCCTGCCTCAGCCTCCTGAGTAGCTGGGATTACAGGCACGCGCCATCATGCCCAGCTAATTTTTTGTATTTTTAGTAGAGACGGGGTTCACCATGTTGACCAGGATGGTCTCAATCTCTTGACCTTGTGATCCACCCACATCAGCCTCCCAAAGTGCTGGGATTATAGGCTTGAGCCATCGCGCCCGGCCGTGCAGCGAGCTATTTAAGCCACTACACTCCAGCCTGGACAACAGAGCAAGACCACGTCTCAAGGAAAACAACAACAATACCCATATACTTGTAAGACAATGTTGAAGACGTCTCTCTCAAAACAAAAAAGACAAAGAGAGAAAATAAGGGAAAAAAAGATAAAATTGTAATCAAGCTAGCATGTAGCCACCAGTTCTAGAAAAAGCAGCTCAGAAAATGGGAACAGGGATGGAATGAGTTGCCAGAAAGGGGCAGAGGTGATTTATCAAAGAAATACTACACATGTTAGTCTAAGACCTTCAGAAAAAAAAAGAAAAAAAAATACTACATGACAATTTCCCTGACCTGGAGACCAAGTGTTATGATGAAAAGGGCCCCCCAGGACCATGTATGGTGAGGAGAAAAGACCCACTACAAAGCACTTACCTTGAAGATCCTAAAGGCCTCCCAAGAGGAAGGGGCATGAGAAACTCCCAGCTCCCTCAAAGAGATGAATCTTTTAGGAAGATCAGCAAATCAGAATGACATGAGACTTCTCCACAGCCATGCTAGAAGCCATAAGACATTACAGTGGAAAAGTCCTAAGGGAAAAGCACTTTTCACCTAGAATTCTATACCCAACCATCAAATGTGAGGATTAAAAAAAGACATTTCATCTGGGCATGGTGGTTCATGCCTGTAATCCCAGCACTTTGGGAGGCTGAGGTGGGTGGATCATCTCAGGTCAGGAGTTCAAGACCAGCCTGACCAACATGGTGAAACCCCATCTCTCTTAAAAATGCAAAGATCAGCCACATGTGGTGGCAGGTGCCTGTAATCCCAGCTGCTCAGGAGGCTGAGGCAGGAGAATCGCTAGAACTTGGGAAGAGGAGGTTGCAGTGAGCTGAGATCATGCCACTGCACTCCAGCCCACTGCACTCCAGCCCAGGGGACAGAGTAAGACTCCGTCTCAAAAAAAAAAAAAAGACATTTTAGATATGCAAGATCTCATACAATTTACCTCCAGAAGCACCTTTCTCAGGAAGTTACTGGAGGATGTGTTTCAATGAAACAAATCAGCAAGTCAAGGAGAGGATGATGTGGGATCCATAGGTAGAATATTCAACCCAGGAGAGAGAAGGGTGATGCCTGTGCTACAGGCACAGAGTGGAGCTGGAGACAGAGAACTCCAGAGGGCATGACTCCAAGAAGGAAAAGGACACCCCAGCTCAGCCCTGTTCCGCCCTTCCATCTGACTGTGGGCTGGGGGCACACACAGGTGGAATCTCCTTAACCCAGGATTCAGTGGGTTCCTGCAATAACCAGTAAAGCTGAGCAGGACTCTCCCCACCCACACCATGAGAAATCACATTTACTAAAGACTTAGGCAACCTGATAACCTGTAACTTATGGGGTGGTCAACAAAACAAGTATTCAGAGGGAAGCCCTGCAGGGTCAAATGCAGCCACCACCTTCCCAGAGGGAAACTCCTGGCCCACATACAGCCTCTGGCTTCCTCCTGCATAGCTGCTGCAAACTTCCTCCCAAGGGCTGGCACCCACAGCATCTGGAGCATACACACCCTGCCTTCCCCTCCAGATGAGCAAAGGCACAGATGTGGGTGGGCTCCCATATGTCACTCCCAGCTGTCACCAGAGTGTCACACTCACCGCCACATGTCCCCCCTCCTCACTAAGGAACCGCCGGACATCACGGAGGGCTGCCAGAGCACACTGCCTTCAAGAGAGAAAACACAGGGTCAGCCCAGCACCCAAACCTGGCTGCAGGAGGGCAGCCAGGGACACACGACAGGAGGAGACAAGAAAGGAGGAACAGCCCCGAGGTCTCTTACTCTCCTTTCAAAGTTTCTCTTCTCTTTCCTTGGGATAATTTTCAGTGTTTGGCTAACTCTGCTCCTATAAAGTAGAAGGCTATATACTCTTAGCCATTAGGAATACTTTTTAAGCACTACTTTTCTGTATTTCTCCCCATCTTCTCATGATGTGCAAGCAAATCCACGCTGTCATTGTGCCATATTCATGATTTCTAACTGTCACATATTTTCCCTGATTATCAAAATAAGCCTTTTTCTTTTCTTTTCTTTTCTTGAGATTGAGTCTTGCTCTGTTACCCAGGCTGGAGTGCAGTGGCACAATCTCAACTCACTGCAGCTTCCTCCCAGTTCAAGCAATTTTCGTGCCTCAGCCTCCTGAGTAGCTGGGATTACAGTTGCGAACCACCACACCTGGGTAATTTTTGCATTTCAAAATGAGCGCTTTTAAAAGCAGCTGTTTTCTTGCATGCATGTCAGGAGTTGCTGGTGGGGAGGGGAGGAGCACTATTGCTGGACCTTGGGCAATGTTAGGGTTCATGTTCAATTTTCTTTCCTGAAAGAGAATTCTCCAAACCACCCCTTCTGGGGGAAGGTTCTGCATCTCTGCCTCTATCATATCCATATCCTCCAGAGAATGGGAATCCCTCACCTATGACTGACCACTGACTATACAGTTTTCAGATCTCTCTCTCTTTTTTTTTGAGACAAGATCTCACTCTGCCACCCAGGCTGGAGTGCAGCAGTGGGATCATACTTTACTGCAGCCCAAAATGCAGGCTCAAGTGATCTCCTGACTCAGCCTCCAAAACAGCTGGAGCTACAGGGGTATGCCACCACACCTGGCTAATTTTAAAATTTATTTTAGAGATGGGGTCTTGCTGTGTTGCTCAGGCATACACAATCTTTAGAAGGTCTCAGCTTTTTCATTTATTGCTGCAAAATGGATTGACACAGGAGGATTTTTTTTTTTTTTTTTTTTTTTTTTTGGGAGACTTGCTCTGTTGCCCAGGCTGGGATACAGTGGTGTGGTGCGATCTTGGCTCAGCACAACCTCTGCCTCCCAGGTTCAAGCAATTCTTATGCCTCAGCTACCCAAGCAGCAGGGATTATGGGCATGTGCCATCACACCTGGCTAATTTTTGTATTTTTAGTAGAGATGGGGTTTTGCCATGTTGGCCAGGCTGGTCTTGAACTCCTGACCTTGAGTGACCTGCTCACTTTGACCTCCCAAAGTGCTGGGATTACAGGTGTGAGCCACCACACCCAGCCACAATTGTTCTCATCTTATCAATCTCTCCTATGAGGTCTGGAGATAAATAAATTACCTTTTTATCTATTATCTTCCCTTTTTATATGTAAGGGTAAAGCTAGATCTCTTAGCTTTGTGTTTTTTGAGACAGAGTCTCACGTTGTTGCCCAGGCTGGAGTGCAGTGGCACGATTTTGGCTCACTGCAACTTCCACCTGCTGGGTTCAAGCAATTCTCCTTCCTTAGCCTCCTGAGTAGCTGGAATTACAGTCATGTGCCACCAGGCTCAGCTAATTTTTTATATTTTTAGTAGAGATGGGGTTTCACCATGTTGGCCAGGTGAGTCTGGAACTCCTGACCTCAGGTGATCCACCCTCCTTAGCCTCCCAGGTGCTGGGATTACAAGCATGAGCCACAGCACCTAGCCCTCCTATCTTTGTTGATCTTGGGATTTTGTGTTGAAACTTCTAGTGTATCAAAGTTGGCTCTCATCAGACCAGTATGCCTAAAATACAGAGGTAGAAGCTGATCCAGGAACCACAGAGAAATCAGCAGTAGAGCTGAGTCCAGGGCACTGAAAAGAGTTCTACTCCTATGCCTCCTTGTGACCTTCCCTCCGTTCCTCCCTCCCTTCCCTCCTCTCTCTCTTTTTCTCTTTCTCCAAGGTCTCACTATGTAGCTCAGGCTGGTCTTTAACTCCTGGCTTCCAGTGATCCTCCCACCTCAGCCTCCCGTAATGGGAATTATACGCATGAGCTACCATGCCCAGCCCTTGTAACCTATTCTGTGCCCCAATGGGTCTCTCAATTAAACCCTCAAAGTGCTTTCTTCCTCATGCCAAAAACATCTAAATTCTGAGAGTCCAGGTAACTGGCATTACTGGGGACATTTCTCACCACCTGCATTTAGAGTCCCACATTCTGGGCTAAGATCACTTTTGTGGGCTGCTCTGGCCATAACTCCACCACAGAGGACAGACCTCAGGGCCCCAGTGGAGATGCTGAGGGAAGAGACTGGGAGCCTATGCGTGCCTGCATGCGCGTGTGTGTTTGTGTGAGTGAGTGAGTGCGAATGGGGTGAAGAGATGCATATGTGCATGAATCCCCATGTGTGGGTGTGTATGTGTGTGTTGTGCCCAAATGTGTACACATAAATATGTGAGTGTACCTGTGTGAGCATTCCCTGGGCCCAGATGTGGGCACAGCTGCATATGCACATGAGTGTGCACAATTCCTGTGACTAAATGGGCACAGGTATGAATGAGTGTACCCACAGGATGTGTGTGCATGCACCTATGTGTATAAGTTTGTGTGTGTGTGTCCAAGCATATACAGTATATGTATGTAGAGGTGCCCATGTATGTACACATGGCGTGTGTGTTGTACACGTCTTCAAGTGCTATGTGACTGTGAGCACATATGTGATCATGCTTGGTATGTACATGTACACAGATCCAGATGTGCATACAGGGTGAGCACAAGTGTATATGTGCCCACACACGTGCCTCTGAGGTATACATGTGTGTGTGCACCCACCTTCATGTGTGGTGGGTGACTGCATGTGTGTGGAAGAGTTAGCACAGCAGGCATGAGAATGTTCCTTTCAAAAGGCCTGCTTGTGAGGTTGGCCCTTGGCCAGGGTCTGGGAACTGGATGGTAAACAGTTCCCTCTAGTGACCTAAAACTTACCCTGAATTGTAAGAGGAGCTCACTGTGCATAGATTGTTCACACAAACAACATGGTTCATGCTGCATACCTGCTTTCCCTCTGGGAGTCTGGAATTTTGGTACATGCTAGGCACAGGGTGCCTATGCAACCGGCCTCCAATAAAAACCTTGATCACGGAGTCTCTGATGCACTTCTCCAGCAGACAACATTTTACACATGCTGTCACAATTCAATGCAGGAGGACTTAAGTGCATCCTGTGTGACTCCCTTGGGGGAGAATCTTGGATGCTTGCTCCTGGTTTCCTCTGGACTTCACCCCAGGCCCCTTTTCTCTTTCTGATTTTGCTTTGTCATTTCACTGTACTAAGTCTTAGCCATGAATCCAGCTATATGCCAAGTCCTGGGAGTCACCCTAGCAAATCACTCAACCTGAGGGCAGTCTTGGGGACCCCCAACACACCATGTATGAGTGTGCTCAGGTGTGTGTGTGTATATAGGATGAGAACATGTGTGTCTGCATGTGTGTACTTGCCCTTGAATCATGTGTGGCTTAAGTGAGCTCAAGTATTTATATGTGTAGGTACCCACAAATGTACATATAACCTCACGTATAATGTGACTGTGTACACACAGGGTGTGCATGTGTCTGTACCCTGAACTATGGTATATATGTGTCTAGATGTGTGCCTATGAGGTATGCACATATGTGCATGTGCCCATGCGTATGTGTGTACAGAGGCTTGTGTGTGGCATAGGACTGCGTGCAGGAGTATGAGTGTGCCTGTTAGAATATGTGTACTCATGCCCTTGCATAAATTATTTTTTGAGATGGAGTCTTACTCTGTCGCCCAGGCTGGAGCATAGAGACACAATCTTGGCTCACTGCAAGCTCCAGCTCCCAGATTCAAGCAATTCTCATGCCTCAGCCTCCTGATGTAGTTGGGATTATAGGCGTTTGCCAACACCAGTGGCTAATTTTTGTAATTTTAGTAGAGACAGGGTTTTGCCATGTTGCCCAGGCTGGTCTCAAACTCCTGGCCACAAGTGATCTACCCACCTCAGCCTCCCAAAGTGCTGCGATTACAGGTGTGAGCCATCACACCCAGGCTTGCATGCACTTTTCTAGACCTTCTACTGTGTCCAGTGTCAGAGATGGACCTCAACGTCGTGTGAGTAACTGGGTATGAATGAGTGTGCCCACATGGGAAACATGGCTGTCTCTTCCCAGGTTTTCAATTTTTAAAACTCTGGTCCTTTTATTTTGCCAATTGGAAAATTTTGGACTGATTAATAGGAAATGGACCTGTGGCCCAGCCAGAGCCAGGATTTGGATACAGGAGAGAGGGTTTCTAGGGCAGTCAGAGGGTATGCCTGCAGAAAAGCAGCAATGAGCCTGCCCCAGCTTCTGTTGCAAGGTGACCTTGGACTAGCTTCCCAGCCTCTCTGGGTCTAGGTGTCTTTGTTTCAATTAACCCCAATATCCCTACCTTAGAGGGGCAGCCAGAGTGGAATGGCTGGCAGACTCTCCCCCCAAAAACTATGGATTCAGACAGGACAGACTTCAAATTCAAACACTGAGTGACCCAAGGCACCATCACTTTCTAGCCTTGGTCCCAGCATCTGGGAAAGTGAGGCACTGCCCAACACAGAAGCTACTGGGAAGATCAGACAGGCTGGGTTATCAGCATCCATAGCTTGGGGTTGTTTAAAATTTGCATCTGGCAAGGATAGTCAAAAATAAAATAGGCTGGGTGCAGTGGCTCAAGCCTGTAATCCCAGCACTTTGGGAGGCTGAGGTGGGTAGATCACTTGAGGTCAAGGGTTCCAGACCAGGCTGACCAGCATGGTGCAACACCATCTCTACTAAAAATACAAAAATTAGCTGGACATGGTGGCAGGCGCCTGTAGTCCCAGCTACTCGGGAGTCTGAGGCAGGAGAATCGCTTGAACCTGGGAGGTGGGGGTGGCAGTGAGCCAAGATTGTGCCACTGCACTCCAGCCTGGGTAACAGAGTGAGACTCTATCTCAAAAAATAATAATAACTTAAAAAAATAAAATAAAATTTGTATTTGATAAGTTCCTTGACCTACCTATTGAGGAATATCACTTTTTAGTGATAGATGGGCTTAGATTCAAGTCTGGGCTATGATGTAAACTTGCTATTTTGTGTGAGAGTCCTGGCCTGTCTGGGCCTGTTTCCTCATCTGTAAAAGGGGGGGTGACAATGGGCATCAAGAACCCAGCATGTAGCAGATTCAAATATTAGTCCCATACCTTTTATCTGGTTCAATATCACCAGAGGGTCCAGCCTTGATTTTTACCCACAATTTGGCTACAGAAACCTCAGTGTCAGGCTCCCCTTCCCTTGGTGCCACAGCCATGCCTGGCCACGCCCATGTAAGAACAAAGGCAGTCTCTCGGCTGAAGATCCGAGCCCCACAGCAAGGAGTTCCTGCCCCCTGGTGGCCAGAGAAGGAACAGGGAGCCTAGTGTGGACCCCAGTGGCAGCCTGGTAGCCACTGGCCTGGGGCTGGGCTTGATTTGGAGAAGTCACTAGAGCTGGGTCAATCTCTGCTCACTGCCCTATCCTGATGACTTGGCCGAGAGCAAGTCTCAGCCACCCTAGGTTGATAAGGGGATTCTCAAGCCCCAGCTAACACCTGCTGAGAAAAGCATAGCATGGCTGCTCAGACTACCAGCTGGTTCCCAGTTCCCTGAACAAAGGACTGAGTTCAAGTCTGAAAGTTGTTGGGGGTGGGGGGTAGCATATACAAATTTCTATGGCAAGAATAACAGCAGGAGTGTGAACTACTCACCCAGCAGCATTTAGGAGATTTCAATGCAAAGCCAGTCACACCAGCAATAACACACCAAGAACATCATCGCAAGCACAGAGAAAAAATGCTCCAAATACACAGAAGAGGGCTTATCCTGGGGCAAGGGAGGAATAACCAGCCCCAAGCTCCATCCCTGAGGCCTGTGTGCCTGTACTCACTCAGGCTCCCCTCCCCAGCAGCAGCCAACCCCACAGGGGCTGGGGTGAGTGCCGTGACCTCCAGGGAGCAGCTCTGACTTGCCTGGGCTGAGCCCCTCTCACCTTCCTGAAGGTCTGTCCTCCCCTCCCACAGGCTATCCTTCCCAAGGGCTCCTTAACCCCAGGGCAGGAATGGCCCAGACACCAGGAGGCCACACAACACACCCTCTCCTCTCATCCCCAGACCCATCACCCCCCGCCCACCATATCCTGAGAGGTCCAGAACCCAGCTTTGTCACGTAGCCCTGTCACACAGCCATCGGGGCCAGGCAAGGTCAGGGCTCAGGAGTATCTCAGTCATTCCCCAGCAGCTCCACTCCAGGGACTTCTCAGTAAATGGTCAGTAACATGTTAGCTTTCTCCACACTGGGTCCCCTCACAGCCTCTCCCCCTACACCCAACACATACACTTACTTCCTGATTTTCAGGCCCTCTTCATTGTCGGGGAGAAAAAACTCAAAAGATTTGTAGGTCTTGACCATGTCCCGGCGATACTGGCCAACATTGAACTCTGGCGGGAAGGAGAGGCTCAGCATTTACATCAACAGCAACCCCTACCTACCTGACCCAACCAACCCTGACCTTGACCCAACCCAGACCAGCCTTCTCTATTCTCTTCCCCGTGCCCCACAAAGCTCCCCTTGGACAGTTGGGCCAAGCCTCACCCCGAGTGGGCACACCAATCCAGTTCAGGTATCGAGTCAACTTCTTGGAGATGTAGGTCTTGCCCCTGGCAGGCAGCCCCACCATGACGATGAGCGTTGGGCAGTTGGTCATGCACACTGAAAGGTAAGCAGCACAGGGTCAGATGAGGGCGGGACCCTCCCAGCATGCCCCTCCCTCTCAGCCTGTGGTCTCTCAGCTTCAGGGCATGGGACTGGCACCGGAGGTATCTTCTTGGCTTCTTAGCATCACACAGCTCCCAAAGTGCCCTCAGATGCCAGCTTCAAGCCAGTGTTGGTATGCCCCCTTCCCCAGGGCCGCCTGGGCTCTGGCAGGTACAGTGGGATCTTTCCAGCTCTTCTCATTCTGATGGCACCTTTATCACCAGATATAAAGTCAACCAACCTTGCCGCTGGCGAAACATGGCTGGGGGGGTCCCCACTGCATGAAGGACAGGACCAAAACCCAGCAAGATAATCAACACCCTACCTCTGTCATCCAGGAATCCATACCCTAAACTTTTCACATCTCTCCTACCCAGCCATCACTCGGTGCTCCCAGAACACACAACCCCACTGCATGCCCTCCCCAGGGTAAACTTCCTTTCATCACACAAAGCCCAGCTCAAAAGCTGCTTCCTCAACGAGTCCTTTCCCCAAGGCATCTCCATGGCCACTAGGAACACCCTCACCCTCAATCCTGGTCATCTCACTAATGACACTCTTTTCTCTAGACTGATCACTTACAGCAGCAGAAGCCTTGTGGTGTCTGAGCCATTCAGGGTCTTTGGGCTGGGAATTGTAGGCAGGATCAGGGAGAGAGGCATCTAGAAGTCTCTCAGGGTAAGAACTACAAGGGGTTGAGACCAGAGACCCAGACTGATGCCTATAAGGCAGTCCCTCTGAGAGCTCACCCACCACCATTCATGTGCCACATGTCAGTGTGCCAGCCAGAGAAGATGCCAGGTTAGAGGCGGGGAAGGGTCTGAATACAGCCCCCTAAATCCCTAGCTGGCCAGGACAGATACCAAGGCAGCAGAACTGCCAGCTTCATCTCATGGAACCCAGCTCAATTTTCTTTTTTTGTTTTGAGATGGGGTCTTGCACTGTTGCCCAGGCTGGAGTGCAGTGGTGCAATTTCGGCTCACTGCAACCTCTACCTCCTGGGTTCAAGCAATTCTCATACCTCAGCCTCCTGAGTAGCTGGGATCACTGGTGCGTGCCACCATGCCTGGCTAATTTTTGTAATTTTAGTAGAGATGGGGTTTCACCATGTTGGTCAGGCTGGTCTTGAACTCCTGACCTCAGGTGATCTACCTGCCTCAGCCTCCCAAAGTATTGGGATTATAGACATGAGCCATCGGGCCCGGCTTTTTTTTTTTTTTTGAGTCGCACTCTGTTGCCCTTGCCCAGGCTGGCATGCAGTGGCATCCAGCTCACTGCAACCTCTGCCTCCTGGGTTCAAGCAATTCTCATGCCTCAGCCTCTCAAGTAACTGGGATTACCGGTGCATGTCACCACACCCGGCTAATTTTTGTATTTTCAGTAGAGATGGGATTTCACTATGTTGGTCAGGCTGGTCTCCTCCTGATCCCAGATGATCCGCCCGCCTCGTCCTCCTAAAGTGCTGGAATTACAAGGTGAGCCACCGCAGCCAGCCTCCAGCTCAGTTTCCACTGCCATCAAACACGGTCTCATGTCAGAAGCCTCAGGAAGTTTCCTTTTCCTCATCCTTAGGACCTGGGTCAGGTAAAACCATAGCAGACAGGCAGATGGACAGATGTGGGGAACTGTCACTGCCCCTTTTCTGACCACTTGGCTCTGCAAGTGCCTTCACCTGGTTGCCCTCCCTAGACAGACTGTCCCCAACAACAAGTTGTCTCCCTCACAGCACAGAGGCTCCAGGAATACTTCCACGGGGAGTCAGCAGTCAGACCTGGGTTGCCATCTTGGGAACTCACTGGGAACTCTGAGCCTCAATGTCCCCAGCTATAAAATGGGACAATCATCCTCAGAGAGGCCTAGTACTATCCCTATGGAAGAGCCTAGGCACCTCTGGGAAGTTGTGCCCTCTGACCCGCCCTGGCAGATACTGAGCTAAAGCGATAGATATACTTCAGCACCGACTGCCCTTGGGACTTGGGGCGTGGAGCCAGTTGCCTGGCCCCAGGGAAGCAGGCCCTGCAGGGAAGCAAAGGGCCCTGCTTGCCAGTGGGGGCTCCATCACTCCTGTGCATGACCCTTGTTTAAATGTGACCCAACCAGTGAGCCTCAGGGGCAGGAAGGAGGAGACCCCATGAAACAGAGTGACTTAAGTGAGGGAAGAAACTTGCAGAGAAATCTCAGCATTGGCTAAGGTGAGAGGAAAACAAGTTAGGCAAGGCCTTGCCTCCTCAGAGCCAGTGGACGGCTGAGCCCTGAGTTGTTTGCACAGTTCCTGGCCAGGTTGCAATCAAGCAATCAAGGGCAGTGTATCAGCTGCTGCTAAGCAGGAGGAACTCCTGCACCCACCCACCCTGCTCATCCCACCTGCCGGCTGCTCCTTCAGGGGCACTCCCAGAAGCTCAGGACTGGGGATCTGCACCCCTTCTCCACATCTCCTATTTTCCCAGAGACAGCTCCAGCCTCCTCCCTTGGCACTTGGTGACATTTCCCTTCCCCCTCCCACCCACATGCACAGCACAAGGTGGGCAGGCAGGGCAGCAAATCAGGCCTGGGCACAAAACAAAGCAATAAAATACCTATCTCCTCTGCTCCCCAAGATAAGCTCCCAAGGAAATGACCCAAAAGAAAACCAAAGTTCAGTATATCACAACAGCTCTGCTTATTATTGCAAAACACCGGGGAAATCCCAGCTGTGAGAAATTGCCAACTGAGGCACAAGGAGAAAACATATTGTGCCACTGAAACAGACCGTGTAGACTAAGTGGGCTGGGTGTGCGGCCGCAACCGAAGCTCTGAGCCCACAGGACCCGACACTGAGCAAACAGGACAGGAGAACACACTGTTTACATCTGGGCATGGTGGCTCATGCCTGTAATCCCAGCACTTCAAGAGGCCAAGGTAGGTGGATCACCAAAGGCCAGGAGTCCAAGACCAGCCTGGACAACATGGAGAAACTCTGTTTCTATTAAAAATACAAAAATTAGCCAGGTGTGGTGGTGCACACTGGTAATCACAGTTACTTGGGAAGCTGAGGCAGGAGAATCACTTGAACACAGGAGGCAGAGGTTGCAGTGAGCCAAGATCGAGCCACTTGCACTTTAGCCTGGAAGAGAGCGAGACTCCATCTCCAAAAAAAAAAACACTGTTTATAACATCGAGCATGTGCGGAAGGAAATGTGAAGAAATGTCAGCCCAACTTCCCTCATGGATTCCTTTCCTGTAAATTCGCTGCAGGCCCCACAAGCCCTAGGAGCCAAGAGGCCTGGACATGCCTGGCAACCGGCAGTGTCTGTGTGTGTTCCGACACTTCCACCACAGGAGCAGCTACAAGTCCCTGGAGGGGGCGCCAGAATTGACTCTCAGGAGTTCAGACGCAGCCGCTCTCACCTCCTTAGGCCTGGGGAAGGCAGAGCACTTTCAAATGAAGGCCCTGTTTGGAGGGGACTGATAGTCATCTCTCCTGTTGCCCTGTGCCCACACCAGTCATGTCCTGACCCAGGAAGAGTCTTGCCACCTTGCCACCTTTCGGCTGAGAAAAGCCATACAACACTATCCTTTCTGAGGTGCTCCCTGAGTCAGCTCTGGCCCCATCTGCCCCCAGAGTTCCTCCAGGTCTGAGCTCAGAGGCCAATGATGGGAAAGGTAAGAGCCTCCCAGCCCTCAGGTGTGGCTCTAAATTTTATCAAGTGGGGGTGTGGCTGTGGGAGTGGAGGCCCTGAGGAGCTGAGGACTACTAGACTCCAGAGAAAACCCAGTACAAAGCACAGACCAGCAGTGAGTACAGCTGCTTCCTCCCCACAAAGCCCTGGGACCAAATGTGCTTCCACCCCAACCCACGCCCTCCAGGTTCGGACTGTCCTTGCAGTCACTCGGCAAGTCTACTATGCAAAGGGTAAAATGCTGCCCGAAAGCAGGCCCTGGGAGCTGGAGGTGCTGCACAGGCCGGTTCCATGTTCATTCACCGCTTACCCACTCCCTGCAGTGAAGCTGGGACCCGAGGCTGAGGCCCAGATCCCCACACAACCTCCAGGTCTCATCTTTGGCCTCTCAGGTGCTACCTCCTCCTCCAGGAAATAGTGAGGACCCAGAACCCAGCCTACCCCAACACCCTGAGACATCGTGATGGAATGAGCCCTTCGGCTCAGGCCAGAGCCACATTCAGTCCAAAACTTAGAGCCTGGAGAAACACAGGTCCTGCCTCAGGGCTGCGAGACCTTCCCATTAGGCCTCAGCTTCCTCTCACCTATAATGGGGTTGCTGGAGCTGATGCATCAATCGCTGACTCGGAGGTAGTGAGAAGCAAAGAAAGAATGGTAGTGATGAGAGAACACCCTGACTCCGCTTATTGAGAACCTGCTTCTTATAGGCTCACAGACTTGGCTGGGCACAGCGGCTCATGCCTGTAAGCCCAGCACTTTGGAAGGCCAAGGTGGGCAGATCATTAGAGGTAAGGAATTCAAGACTAGTGTGGCCAACATGATGAAACCCCATCTCTATAAAAATATAAAATTAGCCGGGCATTGTGATGCATGCCTGTAATCCCAGCAACTTGGGAGGCCAAGGCAGGAGAATTGCTTGAACCCAGAAGGCGTTGCAGTGAGCTGAGATCGCACCACTGCACTCCAGCCTGGACAACAAGAGCCAAATAATTCTGTCTCAAAAAAAACAAGGCCGGGCACAGTGGTTCACGCTTGTAATCCCAGCACTTTGGAAGGCTGAGGTGGGTGGATCAAGAGGTCAGGAGTTCAAGACCAGCCTGGCCAGCATGATGAAATCCCATCTGTACTAAAAATACAAAAATTAGCTGGGCACGGTGGCGGGTGCCTGTAATCCCAGCTACTAGGGAGGCTGAGGCAGGAGAATAGCTTGAACCTGGGAGGCAGAGGCTGCAGTGAGCCAAGACCATGCCATTGCACTCCAGCCTGGGCAATAGAGCAAGACTCTATCTCAAAAAAAAAAAAAAAAAAAAACCCTAAAAAACAAACAAACAAAAATAAAGTCCAGGCCCTCACTCCTTTCCTCTATGTAATAATAACAGCTACCCAGCTAAGTCAGGACCACACAGCCTTAGTAACACAGACTGGCTCCGCCTGCACACCTCCAGAAGAGTCTCAAAGGAAGGCTGGCCATTGCCCTCAGGACTGAGTGTGCATTGTAGACAGCCACGGCCCCACAGGGACCTACACTCCAGTCAGAGCCATGACTTACTACGACTCTGTCTGGTTAGAAACACAGCCTTCCCCTACTAGGACTCACCGTGTGGGCAGAAATACCCTTTCCCCAAGACTCACATCATGATCAAAGCAGTGACCCCAGGCTGCTGCAGCAAGATGAGCACAAAGAACTCTCCCCTCGCTTATCATACATAAGCAGAGGCAGGATCACAGGGAGACCCAGGCATGTCACATAATCTCCTGATCTCCCCTTGACCGTCAGTTATACTAGATGTTCTCTGCGGTCCTGGACAAGTTGCAAATTCACTACAACGTTTCAGTTACTCCTAAAACAAAATCTTTGTTTTTCCAGTAATAAAACTGTTGCAGGCCAGGTCCCACGCCTGTAATCCCAACACTTTGGAAGACGGAGGCCAGAGGGTCCACTTGAAGCTAGGAGTTGGAGACCAGCCCAGACAACATAACAAGACCCTGTCGCTACCAAAAAAAAAAAAAAAAATAGCTGGTAGTGGCGGCGCACCTGTAGTCACAGCTACTCAAGAGGCTGAGGTGGAAGGATCGCTTGAGCCCAGAAGGTCGTGGCTGCAGTGAACTATGATCGCACCGCTGCACTTGCTCCAGCTTGGGCAACAGAGCGAGACTCATCTCTTAAAAAAAATGCTGGCTCATTTAAGGACAGGAAGAAACTCAAAGAAACGATTTAAATACCTGGGACTCTAGGAGAGGTGAGCCCCTCAGCAATTCCATGAATTTCAGCATTCTCCTAGCTGTTTCACCCTCAAATTTTACTGTGCCCCAATGACCCCAGGTGGATGCTTACATGTCCAGGGAACCCGACACAGGCCCACATGGCATACTTTTCTGTCTCTATACTGAGCACATCTGTGCTGAAGTTCCTACCCAAGCTCGGCTTTAAGGCCAAGAGGCACCCTTCCTCCTGTTGGAAAACTAGCCCACCTTTGAAAGTTTTGGGCTCAGAGAGGCCAAGTAATTCTCCTAGGGTCACTCAGCTCAGTTCCAGTCCAACAACCCTGCCCACACTCCTTGGCCGGGAGAGAGGGAAGGGACTGGGGTGCCCACAGAGTCCTCCCCAGGCTGGGGGCCATGGGGTAGGGTGGGGAGCGAGGGGGCCAGCGCCCTCCCCGAGGTGATGGTGGTCAGACCTAGCCGCTGCCAAGCCGATATGCCCGCACACACCTGTCCCCGCCCCCTGCTCTGCCACACCTGTCTCTGGCCCACCACTGTCACGACCGCCTCACCTGTCCCCAGCAGCCTCGCCAGTCACGATAGCCTCACTTGTTCCTGGTTCCCCACCTGTCTCCGGGCCCTTCTCTATGTGAGACCCCCGCCCAGCCGCCCTACCCACCCATCCCAGTGCACCTCCCACCCCCTCCTGGAGGACCCCGCCTCACCACCGCGCGGGCAAGCGTGCAGAGCGGGCCGCCCATTGCTGTATGGCATCCAGATCTTTTTCAGGGGGTTCTGGGTTAATTCCCGTGGGGACGCCATCCCAGGGCCGGGATGAGTCGGATTGCGCGACTTCCAACAGAGCAGCCGGGCCACCTCGGGCCACCCCTCGGGCCCCGCCCCTCCTCAAACCGCGACAGCCCATGTCTATCTTCCCGCAGGCCCCGCCCCAGAGTGAGGAGGCTCCACCCCAGCTGAAAAGGGCCCGGCCTCCGACCACGCATGCCCAACTCACCTACCCGCCCGTTTTGGAAAAAGTGGGCCCAGATCTTCAGGCCAGAATCAAGAATGCGCATGCTCAACTCCCGGATCGTGCTGGCCCCGCCCCAGTTCAAGGCCCGGATTGTGCAGACCCCGCCCCAGATGCGAAAATTCAGCGCTACCTACCTGACCCCGCTGATTTGCATAGGCTCCACCTACGGGCCCCACCCTGGCGCTGCATCCCTGAGCCTCGGCACGCGTGGATTCTGCTCCTTGCTATGCTAGGGAGCCCAGGGTCCCCAGGAGGGAGGGGTTTGTGTGCAGTGGGACGAGGCCTACGTGACCCGCATGGCCAGGTTGGTCAGAGCAGACAGGGGCCACCAGGCCTGCTGTACCAGCCGTCAACTCCCTGCGCCCTCCTGCCCCTGTTTGGGGCCCCCCTTTGACTGCTCCGAGCCCCGGAACTCTCCTTTTCCAGTGTGCTCTACCACGCTGGAAAACTGCTTTATCTCATGGATAGAGACGCAAAACAAATTTCAGTATTGTTCGTCTTTCTCTCTTTGCCTTGGCTGCTGGGGCGCTCGGGCTAAACTCCAGCTCGCCGAGAGCAAATGCGTGGGACTTTGTAACCAAGTATTTTGGGGACTCACTAAGCCCTGGCAATATCTTAATTGTCCTTCCAGAATTTCATTTTTAACAATTAAAATTTTTTTGTTTTTTTGTATTTTCTTTTTTCCCAACTAAATTTTTACATATTTTTTTGAAAATAATATGTTAATATTTTCTCTTTATCAGGACAATGGGATGTGCACATTATCAACCTTTTTTTTTTTGAGACGAAGGCTCACTCTGTCGCCCAGGCTGGAGTGCAGTGGCAAGGTCTCGTCTCACAACAACCTCCGCCTCCCGGGTTCAGGTGATTCTCCTGCCTCAACCTACCAAGGAGCTGGGAATACAGGCGCCAGCCACCACACCCGGCTAATTTTTGTATTTTTTTTTTTTTAAAGACGGGGTTTCACCATGTTGGCCAGGCTGGTCTTGAACTCCTGATCTCGTGATCTGCCTGCCTCAGCCTCCCAAAGTGCTGGGATTACAGGCGTGAGCCACCGTGCCCAGTGCACATTGTCAATCTTACAGTATTATAGTATAAATTAAATATGTCAATCTCTAAGAAATCCATTTTAAAATACGTTAAGGTTGTCTTTTGCTGTATTTGTATCTCCCTCTTGTCTTTGGAAATGCAGTGGGGACAAGGAACAGGGGAGAGATCGGAAGTTTGGAAACCACTGGGTGACTCTCGTCACTCTACCCAACTCCTGCAAGCTCCTGCCTCCTTGGGATCCCAGCCCCACCTCTCCAAGATTTGTACACTCTCTACCCCAGCCCCTACCAAAACAGCTTGAACCTGGGCCACACTGCCCTCTAGCGATGTCAACCACAACACCCCTGGCAAGGGCCCTGCATTCTCAAGTTCTCTCTGTCCAATGTGTACCCAGCCAGGAGCCAGGTGTTGAGGGCATGGGAAACAAGACTGACCTCGTGGGCTATAGGTGTAGCACCCCCTCCCATGCCCTCTCTGCCACAGCCCTGCCTTGGATCAGTCCAAGTCCACCCAGCTCTTTAAAGCTTGGCAGGGACCCTTAAGATGACTGACACGTGGCTCACGCCTGTAATCCCAGCACTTTGGGAGGCTAAGGTGGGCAGATCACCAGAGGTCGGGAGTTCCAGATCAGCCTGACCAACATGGAGAAAACCCGACTCTACTATAAACACAAAATTAGCTGGGCATGGTGGTGCATGCCTGTACAATTCCAGCTACTTGGGAGGCTGTGGCAGGAGAATCGCTTGAACCTGGGAGGCAGAGGTTGCAATGAGCCAAGATTGTGCTATTGCACTCCAGCCTGGGCAACAAAAGCAAAACTCCATCTCAAAAAAAAAAAAAAGATGATGTCACAGATGTCTTGCCCACTTCATGGGAAATTAAGATTCTGAAGGATCCACATGCTGGAAGCCCACCTGAACCCTCCCTCAAACCAGCTCCAGCTACTTGCCCTGGGAACACCCTGCCCCAGGCAGAGTCAATAACTTCCTCCTTCCTCATCCTCCTTTTGCAGCATCCACCCACTCCTTCCTCCACCCCATTCCCAGCAGATCTGAGCACATCCATGGGTGGCTCCTGATGAGCTGAGTGCCCCTTATGACCTGCTCCCCACTTCTCCAAAGCCACTCATTCTGTTCCTGACACAGCCAGCCCTCTTGTCTTCTGGCCACTGCCAAGGCCATCCCAGGGCCACTGTGGCCTCTGAGACCTCATTACCACACATCCACACCCTGTCTAACCCACAGCACACATTGCAAAAGCTATCTCCTCTGACATCTACAGACACCTAGCGCCTCCTCCGGCCTGTCACTTCTTCTCTTCCCAGACCTCCTAGGATGCTACTCAAGGGCTGGGGGTAGAGGACAGCGGGCCTGGGCAGGGGGCCAGGGCTATCTCTGGGAAGACATCCTCACACCCAGACAGGATGAGCCTGGTTCCCAGGAAATGCAACAGCTCTGCACCTCCCTCTCTTCCCCAGAAAGTCTACTCGGGGCTGACCCAGGCACCCTCCTTCAAGTCCCTGTGTTCAGCTGGAAGGCCACAGGTCAACATCAGGAGATGCCTGGGGTTCCTCCCCAAGGCCAGGGTCCACATCTACTCTGAGGATACTCTCCATCCCTCTCCCATGGCCCTGTTTCTCAGGTGGGAAACTGAGGGTCAGGAAGGGGGAGAAGGGCACAGCGCACAGAGTGAGTTCACAGTGCAGCATGGACTTAGCTCAACTCCCAGCCTTCCAGACCTTGCCTCCCACACTGCTCTGTCATCGCACAGTCCACCTCCACACCTGTGCTCCTGCCCACCGTGTCCTCTCCATGGAGCTGCTGTCCCGGCTCTGCTCCCTCAGCCTCAGCGGATGCCTGGTAGAATCCCTGGCCCTTAGGGCTTTTCCCTCCTCAGCGAGCCACTGTCCTGCCTCAGGTGTGAGAAAGATGCTGGGTTGTCTGTGCACACATGTGTGAACATTTTCTGCTCTGCCTCTGCCTGCCATGACCCTGGCTGGCCTGACCCTGGCTGGCTCCCATGGTGCCCTCTGCACTCACCACTGGACTTCCTCCCAGTGTCCCAGCCTAGAAGCCATGTGATGGCCAGTCCTCAAAGCTCACACCCTTCCCAGTCCCTGTATCTACTGGCCAGTCCTGACAGAACTGCTGAACCATCCCCCACAACCCCCCACAACACACACACACTTGTGGCATGAGCCGCCACACCTGGCCCACAAACCACCCTTCGCAGCATAAAGACCCAGGAGTGTTAGTGTGTGCCACACAGGTCCACACACTGATGTGCACAAACACACTGGCACAGCTCACAAGCACTCATGCAGATGCACACACAGACGCACCGCACTCACAAACCCTGTGCCCTGCCTCGGTGGGGTCTGCTGCTCTCTGTTGCCTCTCTCCCCATATATCCCTCCACCCCCACCCCTGCTGTCCACTGAGAGGTTCAGGAGTTTCCAGGAATTCCAGTTTCCTCTGGCCATTTCCAGCAAAGGATTGTCCCCTGTGTCTCCCTGGATTTAGGGCTCACAGGGAGTGTGAGGTTCTGACTTGGAGGCAGAGCCATGTCACTGAGCAGCCTGGGAACCCTCATCTGCACTTCTTCCTCCCAGCCTGGCACAGGGCATACAGTAGGTGCTTAGGGATTCAGGACCAGCAGGGGCACACAGAAAGGGTTCTGAGAGGTTTATGACCAAACTGAGTACACAGCAGGTGTTCAGAGAAGCTCAAGACTGGCAAGGCACACAGCAGACACCCTAGAAATGCTGGTTTAAGGGCTAAAGCCACGTCATGTGAAACCCTTTCCAAATGAGCCTCTAGACTTCCCCAAACTGGTGTGACCCTTAAGAGGAGACCTGGACAAACACAGTCCCTCGGAGGCCAGCAAAGAGCAGAGCAGGAGGGCCTGGGCAGCTCCATTTGGCGGTCCCTTCCCCTGGGCTGGAGGAAGACACTATTTATAGTTCCCCATTGGCCCAGCCCCCTCCCTTGCAAGGCGGTAGTTTTCCCTCTCCTTCAGGCCACTGACAGATGAATGCCCCCCCAAGCACCCCTATACCAGGAAGACCCCCCCAACCCTATGGCACCCCTCCAGCACCACCCTGACTTCATCCAGGTCTTTCCCTAACCCCCCACACTCCCCACGCTGTCCCGAGCCTACCCTGCCTGCTGCTCCCTGGCCCCAGGTCCGTCAGGGAGCTGCCTCCTAAAGAGCCTCTGTCCATCCTGCAACCAAACTGGCCAGGGCCACTGCCCCCTGCGGCTCCAGAGTGGGGTCACCCCGCCCAGCACTCTGGAGAGAGAGCAGCAGCTCCTGTGGCCCCGCCTCCCCAGCCCGCCCTAAGCCCGCCCCCACAGGGCTGCTTACAACTTACGCCAGTGCCCCCACTCCAGTCAGCCAGCCACACTCTAGCCAGTACAGCCTCCCTCTCACCAGAGCTGCCCATGACACCCAGCGTCTGCCTTCATGTCCACCTAGAGTTGTCTGCACGGCCCGGAGTGCCTGCCCACTCTGCAGGCAGGCCCATCCATGCCACCCAGAAAGTCAGTTTCGTCTCTGGCCCAGCAATGGAGATGGGCTGTGAAATCAGGCAGAACCTAGTCCTTCCAAACCAAGGGACCAGGTCACTTAAGTGGGGAGTGGGGGAGGAAGGCAGAGAAGCCAGGTGTGACTCAGCCCTTACGTGTCATAGCCTGTGTGCACAGGACTGGGATTCTCACACACCCCACCCTTCAGTCGCTTTACATTTATTGAGACCTCCTGCTGCAGGACCTCTATGTCTGCTGCGTACACAATGCTCACATGCTTGCTGGTGCCGCTCTGCTTTACAGATAAGGAAACCGAGGCTCGGAAAGGTGAACAGCTTTGCCCAGGACAATC